TAAAGTGGAGAGTTCTATGAATGTTAATTAAGTCTACTTGTTCCAGATCTGAGTTCAAGTCCTGGATATCGATGCTAACATTCTGTCTCATTGATCTATCTAATATTGATGTTAAAGTCTCCCGCTATTATTGTGTAAGGGTCCAAGTCTCTTTGTAAGTCTTATATATCTGGGTATTTCTGTATTGGGTGCATATATGTTTAGGATCTTTAGCTCTTCTTGTTACATTGATCCTTATATCTTTATGTAATATCTTTCTTTGTTTCTTTTGATCTTTGTTGCATTGAAATCTATTTTATCAGCAAAAATTGCAACTCCTGCTTTCTATTTATTTATTTTAGCTCTCCATTTGGTTGGTAAATTTTTCACCATCCCTTTGTTTTGAGTCTTTATGTATCCTTGCATGTGAAATGGATCTGGATGTAGCATATCAATGGGTCTTGGCTTTTTTTTTTAATTAAATTTAAATTAAATTTAAATTTAATTCTAAATTTAAATCGACTAAATCCCCCAATCCAAAGACACAGACAGGCAAAAAAATACATTTCTTTTGAAATTGGCTTTTTAAAATATTAATATAGCCACTTCAGACATTTTATGTTAACTCTTTTCACAATATATCTTTCTCCTATTTACTTTCAATCTTTCAAATAAACCTATATATGTTTTTACATATCAAATGCATTTTTTGTAAAGAAAATATACATTCTAACAATGTAAATATATATGTTGTTATAAACTGTGAAGGATTTGAGATGTTACACCTCGTGCATATTTAGATAGATAGATGGACACTACACGGCTTGGTTGGGGAAAAAGAACGTAATACTATCTATCAAAACAGCAAAATAAACAACTACGGTAACATTTCAATACCAGTTCTCACCCCCTGTCCTCCCAGCCAGAAGCATCATAGAGTGATATGGTGAGAGTCACATATAGAAATATCTTAAGGAAATACCAACTTTCACTCAATAGGTAAGGGACACAGGAAAAAAAAAAATGTTTTCAGTGCTTATAAATGGCAGACATTATTCACTTTCCCTATTTCTTTCAGGGAGTCTCCTTGGAGAAGCAATGGGAAGAATCCTTAATATTTACCTTTGTTATACAAATATATCCCCTTGGGAGTCAGATAAGCCTTTGTCATTAGTTTAAAACCTAGAAATGCCTTCAAGGGTCTGGGTTGCTTTTTTTTTTTTTTTTTTTTTTTTTTAAATGTAAACACCTAGGAAGAGAACTCTCCAGCTATTCACCCACCTTCGATATTAATGTTATTGTTATATAATATCCTATACTATAATTGACTAGCTCTTGAGAGCACAAAAGAAGGTTGTATTATCTTTTAAATCCAAGCAATTGGCTCCATTAGGGAACAAATGGGTGCAGATCTAATTTTTATGGTGTAAGAAAATGTTCTTAGGAAAAATGAGAGCTACACTAACTTTACAGTATATTATAATATATCATATTATATTAGATTCCACAGCTCCAGAGGCTGTGGTTTTACAGAACAACTACAAAATGGAAATTCAAAAAAGATTTATTTTCCCATACTACAGTGGGTTTTGTTTTGCTTTGTTCTGTTTTTTAATATTCTGACAATTTCTGCCTTTTAATCAGATTGTCTCATTTGTTAATGTCTAATGCAATTACTCACGTGGTTGATTTAAGTCTACCGTTTTATTTTTTATATATTT